TGTAAGCAATGGCGGCTGCCCCTTCCTGCCCCTCCCCCCCAGCTGTCTCTCTCTCATGACAGCTGCCCAATCAAAGGGCCGGGGGCTTAGCCAGCTCCCCCCCACACGCAGGGATCAAGTGTCCACACTGGCTTTGTTCTGGAGCAAGAACGATCCGGGGGAGGGGAAGGCTCCTGGGGCCAAGCAACTCAAGTGGACTGGCCCGCCCCTTGGGGGATTCCCTTGGCTCTAATAGCTAGAGTGTCTGGACCAACTAGGGCTTGTAGACCCACCTGGGCTGGGAAGAGAGAGAAGGGTCCAGTCTCCAAGTTCATCCCCCACCTTACCTCCCCCAGCAGTCCCCAACCTAACAGCCTCCTTCTATTCCTCTCCAAAAGCAGCCATGCTGGCCACACCCAGTGATGCTGGAGAATGGCTCAGGGCATCAGGCGAAGCAGGGCATGGTGGGGATGGGGTGGGGGGAGTGGACCCTGGGGCCGGAGGGGATCAGCACTGAGGGATCCTGACTCCCCTGCCCATTTCTCTGGGCATGCTCACCCTTTCTGATTAACTAGGCCTCCAGAAGAATTGCCCCAGCATCCTTGGATCCATATGCCCAGCCTCTCAGCCTTACAGCCTCCCAGGATGGCCATTCATACCTACTTTATGGGAGAGTTGGGGGAGGAGGGGCCGGGAGGGGAGCAGCCTGGGGTCTATGAGCTCCAGCCTCTGGTTCCTTGACCTAGAACTGTCCTGTAGACTCAGTACTAGGCAGAGAAGGGAAGCTCTGACAAGCTGGCTGGTGCCAGAAATGCTACAGCCTCCTTAGAGCATCATTAGGCAACCCCTCAAGTGTCCTCACAGCCAAGGGAAACCAAGGCAGGCCCAGGCCCAGACTGGAGTCCAGGAGAAAGGGTGCAACTTCATGGTACAGCCCCATGCACTGGTACACATCCCCTCACTGTCTCACCCAAATTGAGAAAGGTCTCTAGCTTCCATTCTCCATGCTAGAGACTGGGTCACTCTGCTGCTCAACAGCCATCCTTGGCTCCCCAATGCCCAATGAGTAAAGCCTGATCTCCATAGATGGGCACTCAAGGCCCTTCATGATCTGGTCTCTGCCAACTTCTTGTCTCATCTCTACCCCATCCCCCACACACACCAGACTGCAAAACACGCCTAGCACCACCAGGCCTCTGGGCCTTTGCCCAGGCTGATCCTAGCTTGAAATGCCCATCCTCCCCACTCTGTCCAAATCCTTCTCAGATGCTGCCTCCTCTGTGAAGCCCTCCCCAACCTTCCAAGTCAGATGTTATCACTCAGGCCTCTCTGCCCCTCCAAGATGCCTACAACTCAAAGAAGCCCCATTTGGGCATTTCTGAGCCTGCCTTTCCACTACACAGAGTTCCAGGAGGGCAGAAGCTCCTCCAGGAGGGCAGGAGCCAGTACCAGGCTCAGTGTGCTGGGAGAAGAAAGGACTCACAGGGCCCAGAGAAGAAAGGACTCACAGGGCCCAGAGGCAGCGATGGGGCTAAGAATCCCAGAGAAGCAGTGACAGTGGGGTGAGAAGACCCAGGGCTCAGGGGACCAGCCCCATGGGAGAGTCAGGATCCGCCTGGACAGGGTTCCCAGTTCCCATTCCTTAGCACCCCCAGCCCCTGCTCCTGCTGTGTCTCTGGGTCTAGGGGCTCCCCAGGCATTATCACTGGGGTGGGGGATTTGCACTTTGAGACTTCTGGAGGCCGTGAGTGGGTTTCCCCATGGCGAAGGGGGGCTGAAGGAAGAACTCTGGTGTGGCATAGGTTTCACAAAATCGGGCTCAGACTGTCATAGCTGGAAGGGCCTCATCAGAGGGGAACCTGAGGCCCAGAGAGGAAGGGGCTTGTCTGTAAGGCTACATGAGAATGAGAGGCAACTGGCAGAGCTGGCAGAATCCCAGGGTCCACCTGTGCAGCTCAGAGCTCTTTCCTCAAGAGGTCAGCGCCACTAGGCAATGGGGATGGAGGCTGGAGGGGAGCAGTGATGGGAGTAGGGAGGGTGGGCAGAGCCTGTCTGGGGACACAGGGCGGGGCAAAGCCAGCCTCCCTGTGGCCTGGGCCTGC